GTAACAATTGCTTTGCCCATTTTATTCAATTCTTTCATTCATCGTAGATTGCTTAACAAGAATGAAAAAACTATCTGTGTCTGCGAATAATTTATTCGTAGTTTTCATTCTCAAGTGTTTATTTCATTTATATATGCTGAGTGGTATTAAATATGGATAGTGTGATCCAATAATTTAAATGGAGGGAAAATTAGTGCACCAGCTACGGACATGGTTATATGATCCAGTTCATAAAAATGGGTTAGCAATCATATCTTTTACATTTCTTGTTTAAGAAATGCTGGAGAATTGTAGGAAATTCAATTTTGTTTTGACTACTCTGATATAGCTTGAATTCTATTTCATAACGTTTAAATGGTTCAGTATCATTAGTTAGTTACACAGTCATCGCAAAGGAAGAATTGAGAAAACTGTGTTTTTAGCACTAGCCACGAGGTCACCATTGTCAAAATGTTACCTACCTTGGCATATCCCAACTCAATTATCTTCAGTTTTCCAATACCAACAGTCAGTTATTTTATTTTTCATTTTCTTTTTACATTTGACCTGGAAAGGCCCAGAAACTGTAAATTCCATTATACATTCCGTCTAAAGTCTCATTTTTATTGTTGCCCTGTGGCTTCTGATAACATGAATATAATTGTTTTTGGATATTGATGGGTCTCTTGATCAGTTCATATTATCTTCATCTCACACTATATGTATTCTAGGAGTCACAGCTAAAGGGCGTTCATACTCATTAAACATTGTTTCAAAATAAGTAGAAGAGATGTTCTTGATTCTTTCACCGTATTTTATATCCTTATTTATTTAATTATATATATTATTTTGAGTTCAGGCGTGATACAATAGTTGAAGGTATCATATCATCATTTCAGAGAGAAGCCGAATGCGATCTCGGTGGTGATCATGAAAGCGAAGAAGGGGCTAAGCTTATGAAGCTACTCGAGACAGCTGCTGAACCAGAGGTTTTAATGGCAGGGATGAGCTCGAAGCAACTAACTTCCTTTGCATCTTATAAAGCTAAGTTGGAGGTATGCTATGTTCATCTTTCTTGACTCACCATCTAGACTTGAGCTTTTACGAGCCGAACTATAAAAAATTATATAAAAAATCTCTTTTCGATCCTTAGTGAGCCTTATCACGCCGAGCTCGGCTCGTTAACCAAACGAGCTTTAAATGAGCTCTAGCTGAACTCGAGCCCTAACGAGAACCGAGCCGAGCCAGGCTCGTTTAATTTATAACCTACTACAACTCTAATATAATTTCCCCTTTGATGCAAGACGAAGAGGCAGTCAGAGATGCAAAAGTCTATTGAGAAAGCAGTGGAGGATGCTGGGCTTAGTGAGAGAGATGTCACTCCATTTTTGCGCATTAAAGTTGTTGGCTTGACAAATAGATGCAAAAATTCACGGAAGTCTCGTCCACATCAAGGCTTGATAACATTGTGGAACCCGACTCAAAAACAGGTGAATTTTTGTACTTGTTTAAGGCAGATTTATTTTACTCCATATTTTATCTCCCTCTTTCCAAATTTAGTTATTCACTTTTGGGTTTTATGTCATTTCTCTAGACACTACAGCTCTGTGAAGGGAAAGCATATGCTGTTAAAGGTCTTCTACCATCTAAGTCTAATTTAGTTATTCACTTTTGGGTTTTATGTCATTTCACTTTTGCGTTTCAGTTTTAGAAGAGATGTGAATTCTAATTGAATTTATTTATTTATTTTTTTTATTTTAAACATTAATTGAAGAAATCCCTCAAACATTCTTCCCGGGCTCTCAAAATCCTGATCAAAATCATCCCGCCATTCAGCCCGAATATGTCGACGACCACCCTCAATCAATTTTCAATTGGCAACCTGTCTCACGCTGTTCAGTTTGCTCCCAGCCTATTGTCGCTCCCGGGTTAAGAGTCCTAAACATTGCACCTTAACCGTCCGTCCGACCGAACCAGTCTGGCCTAGCCATCGAACCCCTGTCCGTATTCGAGCAACGAGCAACCTTCACCGCAGCCGTCGAGCAGTATACCATTTCGTCGTCACTCTCAAACAGAGGCCTAGGCCCGACGGCCTACCGATGCCCCTTCTTCGTACATCCCTGAGACCCCGCAGACCCTTATCGCCGGCGTCGAGCCACCACCAGCGACAAGAGCGCACCAAAACCGCTGCCATCATCTCAACGCAGAAACATCCTCCAACCACCATAAACAAGCACCAACGTCATAGCCACCATTTGAACGTGAACTGCTGCAAGAATCCGACCAGTCCGAGCGTCGTTCACAACCTCGCACCTTGCCGAGGAACACGAGAAGACGGCGACCCGCCTCCGCTGCCGCAACGCACGGCGGCCACCGCGAGCGGGCTTCCTTCACGTTCGACCCACGCTGTGAATGACCATCCCGCTGAGTGCCGGGAGTCCTCTCCATTTGAATCGCCGCTGCCTTCCGACGTCAGCCGCCATCTCCGCTGTCGAATTGAAATTCACCATCAACGGCCAATTCCACCAGAGGAATTGGAGATTCTGATTTGGGATATGTGAAATCGAAAAGAAAAAAAAAGGAAATTCGGGAAGAGATGTGAATTCTAATTGAATTTATTTATTTATTTTTTTTTTTTATTTTAAACATTAATGATTTCCACGTAAGCCGTTGTGAATTGAGACTCTCTTCACACTCAAATATCTGTTGCGAAAAAAACTATTATCTCACGTGTGAAAATTGGGACTCTCTTCACTGAATAATATCTGTTACCGAAAAAAACTTCCTCTCTCACCCAAAATTTTCAACAGACGGCAATATAAATATCCGTCTATATCTCTTATCTCTTTTCTGTTTCGTGCTCCTTATCTCTGTTCGCCTTGTATTATATTTTTCTGTTTCGTGCTCCTTATGATCTCTGTTCGCCTTTTATTATACTTTGCGCCTCACTCAAGAAAGAAAGATGACAACCATTTCTCTTCTGTTGCAAAAGGCGAAGCCATTTCTTCTCGTCATTTTCTTACAAGCCGGTCTGTCCGGAATGGACATTATATCAAAAGTTGCGTTAGATAATGGAATGAGCAACTTTGTTTTTGTTGTTTATAGGCATTTAGTTGCCACAATTATTATGGCGCCTTTTGCTTTGGCGCTAGACAGGTACAAGTTTTTATTATTTATTTATTTTGGTATACTTTTTTGTTTGATCTTATGTTAAAAAAAAAAAAATTAAGTTATTTATTAGTGAATAGAAATGATCTCAAGTGGTTTTGTTGTCCATAATTTGCAGGAATATCAGGCCAAAGATGACTTGGTCTATATTTTTCAAGATAATGGCTATGAGTCTACTAGAGTAAGTTGCTTTTAATTAATTAATTATTTATTTTTTTCAATATGTGATATATATATATATATATTTTTTTTTTTAATTGGTATGAAAAACATATATGAACAGGCCAGTGATAGGCCAAAATCTCTACTTTTTGGGTATGAAGTACACAACGGCCACGTCTGCGGCGGCCATGTCCAACGTGCTTCCAGCCATAACTTTCGTAATAGCGTTATGCTTCAGGTGCGCTTTCAGTTATTCTTTTTTTCACTTTATTAATAACCAAGATTTTAACAACCTGCAAATGTTCCATCATTCCATGAGGTTCCGTCTATTTACAAGGGAAAAAAAAAATAGGAAAAAAAAAGGCAGTAGAATAATCAAAGATTGACAAATAGTCCACATAATATTGAACGTTTTTGTTAGTAGTTCTGTTAGATTTCATTACTTTTAGTATTTTTTTTAAGAGAAGTAACTATATATAAAACTCATTTATTTTTTATTAAATTTATTGTTATTTAATCAAACTGGCTCGACTCGACTCGGCTCAACTCATTAGGACATAATAATAAGACCTTTTAAGTTTTTTATGTAGCTCGACCTATTAATATTAACAAATAAAGCAAACTCAAGCTCTTTTATTGGTTCATTTTGTTAACGAACATAGCTCGACTCGAATATAAGGAGTTTGAGGTTCGTTTTATGGGATAGAAATCGAGGAGGGTTTAAAATTGTATTTTTTTTTATTCTTGTGATCGCTTAATAACAGGCTTGAGAAATTAAAGATAACTAGCATACGCAGCCAGGCCAAGATTATTGGGACACTTGCCACGGTTGCAGGGGCCATGATCATGACATTTGTAATAGGCCCAAATTTGGGCCTGCCATGGACCAAAAAAGGCTCGGCCTATAATCAACACCACCAAACCGTGACCCTCCAAGATTCGATCAAGGGTGCAGTCATGATCATCGCCGGATGCCTGAGTTGGGCCTGTTTCATTATCTTGCAGGTAACTTAAAAAAAAAAAAAACAATTATTCAACCCAATAACAAATAAATAGATAAATAGATTACAAATGAAATTTCTTTTATGTTTTATTTGCCAAGCTGAGTTTCGCAAACGTAACTGATAAATTTGGTGATTGATGAGATAAAAATTTCAACGTTTTTATTTGAAAAACAAATAAATTTCGAATTTGTAGCTTATAACTGAAAATATAACTGATATTGGTAAAATTAATAGATAAGTCAGCTGAAATAAAAATGCTACAAATGAAGCTTATGAGATAAGCTTTGGTTTTTTTTTTTCTTTTTTTTTTTTTAAATCTTGTCATACGCAAACCAATCTTAATTTCATATTTGAAGCTTATAAGGTAATCATATTAAGTATAAAGTAGTTTATGATGTTTATAAAGACACTTTTAAGGACTAGCAGATTGAGTTAATTGACTATATAAAGTGTTTGGTAAAAAAATAACTTTTTGACATGTAAAAGACAACTAATTTCTCTGTTCAAAAAGCTTTTTAAAATTGACGGCATACTGAAGTGCCAGGGGATATATCTCCCTAAGAACGAAGCAAAGTGAAGTCAAGACTGGTTACCTAGAAAGAGCAAGAAAAGGAAGACTTTGTAGACGATCTGAGAAATGCAATTATGTCGCTGTTCAATCCCATTTGAGAAATAAAATGCAACTGCTGGGATGAGAACGAAAGAAAAAAATTCCAACATCCATTTTTCATTTTGTATTGTCGTCGTCAACTGCTTTACGCTTTAAACAAAGAGGGTCAATAAAAAAACTTAAAACTCAATGAAAATTCCAATAAAAAACTCATTTTAACATTTTTTTGTTGTCTCACTGGAATATTTATTGACATTGTCGTTGGAATTAAATTGAAATATATTTCCATTGAAATATTATTATTATTTTTGTGGTGTACTTACAACCAGTTAAATTAAATTAGTTTAAGGGTCAACTAATTTATTTATTTATTTTTATAATTTTCGTGCAGGCAGTGACTTCACGGACATATCCAACTGATCTATCTATGACTGTATGGATTTGTTTACTAGCAACTGTGGAGGGCGCGGCCGTGGCCCTTGTCGCGGAGAATCGGAATCCGGCAGCTTGGGCCATAAAGTGGGACACCAAGCTTCTTGCAGTTGTCTATACTGTAAGATTAAATTTTATTAAATAAAAAAATGCAGTAA